AATCGTTTGCAGTATATTGGAATCCTCTGGTGTAATTTTCACTGTATAAGGTGTCAATTAAAAAAATATTCCAAACATTCCAGCTGTTTCTGTTCTTTCACTTAATTAAATGGCAATTCAAAGCTGTGGCTTGGGCAGAATCCACATGCCACACTAACATATAAACCCAAATTACATATACATTCTCATTGTTTAACTGTGTCTCTGCAAGTATTTTGGTGCAACAAGGGCAGCAGAACAAATAATTGAAAAAAGAAAGAAAAGAAAAAAACATCTACGTGAAATTTGGAATAACATTTGTTCACATTTTCATTATTACGAATGATTCAATGTTGAAATGTCAAGGTCGAAATTCCGTGAATCATTACAGCACAGTCATAATGTTGGCTTTTTAATGGTGTCGCATTCATTAGATTGCAGTATGAGAAGCATATTATATTGACATATATTATTATTATAATTCTACACACCTCTCTATTCACACACAGTATATAACACTGACAAAGCCATGAGAAATACACAGACAAAACTAGAGTACATTCCAGCTTGGATTAACTATTGATCAAAGCAAGGAGGAAGAAAAGTATGGACAATGCACTGGTTAGACCTCAAGGAGCAGATGGACGGAAATAAAGTTAGGTGTGACATGGAGGAGGATTTAGAAATATGTTGTGGAAAGGAAATAAGTGAGACACACATATGTGGGCATGTGGACAAAGTAATGTTATAGGGAGGTATGGGTGGTTGAGGAAAGATGGATGGATTAGAAGGTGGGACACAAAGTCAAACACTATGAGGTAGTTTAGAGTAGATGAGGGTACACAAAACTACACATGAACACAGAAGAACTCCACCATGTTCACACACACACACACACACACACACAATCCCATCATACACACAGACATGGCATATGGTGTAAGGTGAGGGGGCTGGGCTGAGGATATCCAGAGATCCAGATTCACTGTAAAACCATTGAGAAACAAAAAAGACGGCAGACAGTTCCTGGGACTCCGGACACGATAACCAACCACTTCAATTAGTTACTAGACTGCCCATTTACCACTGCAAGCTCGGGATTAAACAAATATTGCACATTTCTTTATAATTTATTTCATTTATTCAAAAAAAAAATTCTGACATTAACAGTCACACTTGTCCATGAGGGATTGTAAAAGGAACTCACTGATAATAAAAAAGTCACTAATAGAAAAGTAACAATTACCATTTAAAAGGAAACAATCTGTTTCTTGCAATTAAACTGCTAAATAAAATAAAGTCACCTATTATTTCTTTTAATCTTTTTTATGAGATGCACGGATTTTAAATATACAGGGAGTGCAGAATTATTAGGCAAGTTGTATTTTTGAGGATTAATTTTATTATTGAACAACAACCATGTTCTCAATGAACCCAATAAACTCATTAATATCAAAGCTGAATATTTTTGGAAGTAGTTTTTAGTTTGTTTTTAGTTATAGCTATGTTAGGGGGATATCTGTGTGTGCAGGTGACTATTACTGTGCATAATTATTAGGCAACTTAACAAAAAACAAATATATACCCATTTCAATTATTTATTATTACCAGTGAAACCAATATAACATCTCAACATTCACAAATATACATTTCTGACATTCAAAAACAAAACAAAAACAAATCAGTGACCAATATAGCCACCTTTCTTTGCAAGGACACTCAAAAGCCTGCCATCCATGGATTCTGTCAGTGTTTTGATCTGTTCACCATCAACATTGCGTGCAGCAGCAACCACAGCCTCCCAGACACTGTTCAGAGAGGTGTACTGTTTTCCCTCCTTGTAAATCTCACATTTGATGATGGACCACAGGTTCTCAATGGGGTTCAGATCAGGTGAACAAGGAGGCCATGTCATTAGATTTTCTTCTTTTATACCCTTTCTTGCCAGCCACGCTGTGGAGTACTTGGACGCGTGTGATGGAGCATTGTCCTGCATGAAAATCATGTTTTTCTTGAAGGATGCAGACTTCTTCCTGTACCACTGCTTGAATAAGGTGTCTTCCAGGAACTGGCAGTAGGACTGGGAGTTGAGCTTGACTCCATCCTCAACCCGAAAAGGCCCCACAAGCTCATCTTTGATGATACCAGCCCAAACCAGTACTCCACCTCCACCTTGCTGGCGTCTGAGTCGGACTGGAGCTCTCTGCCCTTTACCAATCCAGCCACGGGCCCATCCATCTGGCCCATCAAGACTCACTCTCATTTCATCAGTCCATAAAACCTTAGAAAAATCAGTCTTGAGATATTTCTTGGCCCAGTCTTGACGTTTCAGCTTGTGTGTCTTGTTCAGTGGTGGTCGTCTTTCAGCCTTTCTTACCTTGGCCATGTCTCTGAGTATTGCACACCTTGTGCTTTGGGCACTCCAGTGATGTTGCAGCTCTGAAATATGGCCAAACTGGTGGCAAGTGGCATCGTGGCAGCTGCACGCTTGACTTTTCTCAGTTCATGGGCAGTTATTTTGCGCCTTGGTTTTTCCACACGCTTCTTGCGACCCTGTTGACTATTTTGAATGAAACACTTGATTGTTCGATGATCACGCTTCAGAAGCTTTGCAATTTTAAGAGTGCTGCATCCCTCTGCAAGATATCTCACTATTTTTGACTTTTCTGAGCCTGTCAAGTCCTTCTTTTGACCCATTTTGCCAAAGGAAAGGAAGTTGCCTAATAATTATGCACACCTGATATAGGGTGTTGATGTCATTAGACCACACCCCTTCTCATTACAGAGATGCACATCACCTAATATGCTTAATTGGTAGTAGGCTTTCGAGCCTATACAGCTTGGAGTAAGACAACATGCATAAAGAGGATGATGTGGTCAAAATACTCATTTGCCTAATAATTCTGCACTCCCTGTAATTTTAATGATTTAGCAAATGACATCACAATTCAGTTCTGTCCAGGTATACAATGCAAATGAGGAGTGGAACAAAAACAAGGGATTAGAACGATAAATGACAGAGTGCTAAAATGAGCATTCCATTTTTTAGAATGCTGCAGTGCAAATTTCTACATTTAATTAAAATTTTTAGACCTCACCAACATGTTTGCTAAAAATAAGGAAGAAGTAAACATACTATTAAAAAAATCCTGAAAACCAAAACATAAATGCTCAGTGACTTTTAAGGGGATTACATCATTTTTAGAACAAGCCAAAAGCTGGATTGGAAACCAACTAAAAAAACCCTCACAAAAGTATTACTATTATTCCTAATCCAAAGTGAGGAATCCTCACTCATTAATTCTCATCTGACAATGCAAAGGATTATATTTCCTATTCCCCTCGATATGATTGCAGGATTATTATGTGATCTGCACGGACAGCTTTATCCGTCACCATGAAGTTTAAGCGAACGCCTCTTAGTTAACTAAAGAATCACGTAGTTTGTTTCTTATTTCAAGTAGATGGCACAGACAGAATTGTAAGTTTAAGTGCGAGTGTCAAACTATACTGTATGAAGGGAATTTCAGAGAACATTGCCCTCCAGTGAATATTTCTATGCCGTGCGTGCACTCCTAAATGTACCACTTCGTTTTAGCCGTTCTTTTTGTTCGCACTGCAGAGGGTTTCTTGCCCGCAGACGCATTATTCTACAAGATGAGTTTTTACTATAAATTTATTGTTTTATATAATGACACCATTGCCAGCAGTGTCTTATTATTGCAGGCAACAGTAATAACAAACAAAACATAACACAATTCATAAACATTTGATTTAGACCCCAGGAGCCAGCCGTAATACAGAATAAAACAAATCGAGAATAAGGTTCTGGGAGCGTGTGTCACTGCACACCGGCTTTCCACACATTTGCCAACTCTTGGGAGCTTCAGAAATACTGGATATGCAATGTTAGATTAACTGTAGCACAGACAGATAGCAACATTTTTAGAATGGTAAACATTATACAGAGTAATTTCAAATCATTCTGTGACAATGCCCCTGAAATATTTTTATTTATTTTTCATAAGGGGGGCTGTCTTATTTATTCACACCAGCAAACCGCATTGAAGGGTTAACTGGCTAAAATATCAAGCTTAATTGAACACAAAATGTACTCAATTCAAAAGCTAGACTTCAAATTATGAGTTTCTCCAGGGCAAGCCTTTAAAAATTAGCAAGTTTTATCACGACAATTTGTCACAAACTGCAAAAGGGTAGAATTACATGAAATAAAAAAATTTTAAAAAATCACGATAATTAGTATCAAAATACTTTCTGCAGCTTTTAGAAAGCAACTGTTCTCAAAGTGACTATTGCATTGATCCTAAAGTGGTTCTGTCATCTTTTGGGGTCCGTGCATATTTTGCATTGCTGTTTGTTGAGCAGCCGAGAGAGTGCAATAGCAAGTAGATATAGTGACCTGATATTGTCCCCATGGGTACTGCCATGTTCTTTCCTCAGCTCCTGACACTTCATAACCAATATATATTGTCTCACGATGACAGAGACAATGCCTTATTGCCTCAGCCGTCACTAGCAACGTCTGGGGGAAGTAACAAAACTTGAGGTAGCTCTGCCTTTTGCTAAATTTTGTTAAGCTGATGACAAATACATAGGTCAAAGGGGGTGGAGCCTGACTGCCATGCCGGATGGATGCAGCTCAGAGGAGCTCAGGTGCTTGACCTCAGTCCTAAGCTATAATCTTGCTATTTACACCATGATGAAGGAGCTACTTACCTTCCAGGTATCCCTGGAACTGACTGGAGGTGCCCACGACTGGTGATGGTCCTGATCGGGCACGCTTGGCTGTGGGTCGGCCTTGAGGCTTTGTGCGTCTGCAAGGGTGGAGAGGCGGCCGATCTCCGCTCTTAGACAGCGTTGCTGCTTGGTGCCCTGTTCTCCCCCTCACCTCCTCTGGACCGGCAGGGGTGGTCCTGGTCTATATCCCTCAGAAGCTCCTATTTTACACTGCGGGCGCACGGCATAACTCGTGTAAAGGCAACAAGATATAGGCCCGCAAGATGGCGGAAGCCGCGTGCTTCACTGACCAACATGGTGATTTCCTGCACCAACTAGACAAGATCTTCTACGCATTCTGGGCAAAACTCAAGTTACGTCAGGAACATACAGCTCCGAGCAGACTGCCTGTGGTTAAGTCTCTGCTTACAACGGATAGCCCCTACTGCACTCTGACACAGGTGATGCGAAGAAGCGGTCAGGGAACGACATGGAGGCTAGCGGTGAGGGATCCATTGCAGCGTTGCAACACAACTTACCAGTGCCCAAAAGCAAGCCTGAAATCGACACATCCAGAAAAGATCAGGCTGATTCCAACAAGCCTGCCCGATTATCTCATCGATTCTCCACCACGTGGACTGCTGGGCTTGGCACCGGCGCCCCCTGACAGGACCCTGTTTGGACCCAGTGGGGCATTGGCTGAATCTTAAGTACAAGGGTGGACCCTCCTATCCCTGGCTCTGCACTCCAGCAATATATCCAATGACACTTCAAGCTCAGAAAGATCTTTATTTCTGCCATATTTTCCTTTTCCTTTTTGTGGCACTCACAGTCACCGGGAGGCTCTTTCACTCTATGATAAGCTTATTGCATACAGCCGTCTCACATCTTCTACTTTTCTATATACACTTCACGGTTTTGTTCTCTCACAACCAGTTTAGTAAGCCCTATGCCGGACAACAGTGCTAATTATTGCCCGGTTTTCTTTTTCTTGCCTTTAAAAAAAAAAAAAAAAAAAAAGTGCTGCATCTCTGACATATGTTACCGATTCTTACTGTTAAACATGCTCCAGCTAATGTGTCTCAACCATCCTGTATTTTTATCCATGCACTATAAAAATAAAGAATAAAAAAAATATATATATATATACACACACACACATAAGTCAAAGTAGTCCATACTTTGCATTATTTATGTTGGCAGAAAAAGAATAAAGGAAGTATAGATTAGGAGCAGGGAAGAGAAGAGGACCAGATGGAAGTAAGGTAAATATAGAGTGAAGTCCGCTTTCACAAATGAACCGGCATAAATAATAATATAATATGGGATTGATTAAAATTTTCTTTGCCTAGGTTGAATGCATTTGTGCACTGGAGTCAGGCTGAACTACAGACATGCAGAGAGTGTTCGGTCTCCCAGATAACCGGCCCATGGTCATAATCTTTTCCATTTCCCCTGTTCCCAATTTGCATTTGTTCCCTAGATGCCCAATAGATTTTATATATAATATCAGCTTTGTTACATCGAATAGGTTTTCATAGCACAAATGGACCCTAGAGGGTGATCAGCTACACATTGCTGACGAGGCTAAAAGAAGGCCAAAATCATCATCCAGGGTTCTATCACACTCGTTCCAGCATTTCGGTTCTGGACTTCCTTCATGGGAGGGTTCAGTCTGATATGCAAATTGTATAGGTTCTCTCTGTAATGGCACAAGTGAGCAAAAACATTTTTGAGACCTGACCGGGGACTAACTGAAGGGTAAGCTACTGAGCTTCTCTAAGCTTTTGCTTGTTCTCATATTCTCTGAGTTTGTTGCAATGTTTAGGTTAATATTCATTAATTAAAAGGAATATTAGTAAAAAAATTTTTTTATGGGAAATTAAAGTCCAAAGACTTGGATACAAGCAGTACAGGTGGATGTTAAAGGGGAGGTCTACAAAAGTCAAAAATAAAACGTGTAAACATTGACAGCTCTGCAGTCCGGAGTCTTATAAATCATTTCCAAACACACACAACATTAGGGTTAATTCTGTAATATGACTATTTCAGTAGAACGTTTTACATGCTCATCACAAACACTGCACAAGCGTTTCCCCAGTGGCATGCTAATTGCCAGTTAAAGTCATGTCAAATGAGATCCCCAGAAAATCTTTCCATACTTCAAGACAAGAATCAAGAAATGAATCAGTAGGCATGGAAACTGAAGATGATAAATTCTCTCTCAATATGTGTGTCAACTTTCCTTCTTTAATGTTTTTTTGTTGTTTTTTTTTTTGTGTGGTGGTGGTATATACTATCATTTTCTAAAATGATTTTCATCTGTGATGATTCTTGCTGTAGCACAAAAAACTGTCATGCCTCAAAACTTTGAAAGGAACCATAGTTACACAGTGATAAAAGTACTCTTGATGACGACCACCTTAAAATATCATAATGATAGCATTTGATGAGCACATGTGATAGTGCAAGGCAAGTGTTAACAACTACCCCTACTATTGGTTAGGTATTCTCCTAAGTGAAACTTCACATAATTGTATGGCAGGGAATGGCATGCAGTTTAGGCATGAATAGTTTCTTCCAGTGCTGGATTTGTTAAATCTAGATTCACAGGTTAACCATAAGAAAGCATTGAAGGGAAGGGTTCCCTGAGCTAGAAATTATACTATTCATTTATAAATAAAACAAAAGAAATGTAAAAGGCAAAACTATCTAAAATAATAAAAGATAAAAAATATAACTTTGTGCAAATCCTTTCACATTTTGATTGCAAGGGAGCTGTACGCAGGTAGAGGAGCCAGCAAGCAGGAAGTATTTCAGAATTTGAAATATTGAAGGTGGTGGCAGTGGTAACATACTGAATTCTTCAATACATTCTGCACTGAGGGGATAACATGTTTCCTAACAGATATTTACAAAATTAAACCAGCTGCACTAAAATAGTGACCAAGTTATTGTAGAGAATTTTGTCAGAGAAGAAAATGCCAGACATCTCATCCTTACACGGACCAGATCATACAGGTTTAGGGATTGCCCAATTATGTTAAAAATAATCCCTGTATGTCAGTTGTGAATACTAGGTTGAAGCTGATTTTTTCCAACCGGGAAGAGCAGTTGCCTAAGATGTGCAAACGTATACATCCGTTAAAGCTGTATCATTGTTCAAACCTTCCGCTGTCCAGTGGCAGATAAAGGGGTGCTTAGCTTACTTAGTATTGATAAATAACTTCACAATGCAGTTAGGTTGTGACTAGTTCCACTAAAACCCCTGGAAACCAGCTCTCTGAAGGAACCTCTCCCTGTGAACTGCAGAGAACTAGGCAACAGTTTTCTTATTTATTAGAAGTGGGCTTGCAGAGACATTTGGTTCTGTGGTTTCTTGAGCAGTAGATTTCCCTCTAATCAATATTTGCTTCAGCCAGTATTGTCAGCATGAAAGGGTTTGTGTGTGTAATGGAAATATTGGAATCTGGGCAACACAAGCATTAACTGAAACCTGAAAAAAAAAAAAAAAAAACCCACACAAATCATCACTGTGGGAAGCACACACACAACGATTATCACACTGAGAAGCACAGACAAATTATTGCACTGGGAAGCACACAAATTATTGCACTGGGAAGCACACAAATTATTGCACTGGGAAGCACACAAATTATTGCACTGGGTAGCACACACAAATTATTGCACTGGGAAGCACACAAATTATTGCACTGGGTAGCACACACAAATTATTGCACTGGGAAGCACACAAATTATTGCACTGGGTAGCACACACAAATTATTGCACTGGGAAGCACACAAATTATTGCACTGGGAAGCACACAAATTATCGCACTGGGAAGCATACACGCATTATGCTGGAAAGCACACATAAATAAACCACTCTGGGAATAGTACACACAAATAATTACACTGGGAAACACAAACAAAGAGTATCACACTGGGAAGTGCACACACAAATCCTCACACTGGCAAGCACAAACAAAAAGTTGGAAGAATAACAGTCCTTGCTAATATAAAAAGTAAAAATTCAATCTCTTAATTCTTCAGCTGAATAAAACACATACTATAACCACTTTAGATAAAGATGTACACTCAACAGGAACATACTTTGTTTTTTTAATTTACATTTTTATTGAGGTGTGAGAATGCACAAATAACAAGGAATTCAATACAACAATAACATACTTCTTATCAATTTACTTAAAATGCTATAGTTTAACCCACCTTCCTAATACTTAAGAGAAGGCAATTCAAAGCTGCATTGCTAGAGAGTAGTAGGGGCAGCCCTTTCATTACGGTTATATGGTTTACATCCATTAGCAGCAAATAGAGAAAAGGAACAGGATCCTTGTATAACAATGAATATAAAGCTATTTTTGAGATAAAGGAGTATTGATGGAGATCTAAAGCGAAAGTTATAAAGAACCATAAACATAGAAATTAAAAACCAAATGGGATGGAAAACAAAAGACCACGAAATGGTCCTAATAAGTGCCGGTAACAAATAATAAAGAAAAGCTCCTGTGTACTCGATATCCTAATCGTATTGCTACTAGAGGTTCCACAAGTCAAATATGTTAAGAAATGTATAAAACCAGCGTAATAATCACAAAGACCATGTGGCCCTAATCAAACTACGCAGGTATATCACCTGGCCTTTTACATTAACCCCTAGTATTTGTGGTAAAGATGTTAAAATTTGTTGATTAGGAGTTGTCCGTGTGTGCATTTTTTCTATTTAACAAATAAGCACTCTCTGACGTGTAAATGTCTCAAGCAGCATCAGTCTACCACTTTTCAGTATCGCAAAATGTGTTCAGACAAACCAAAAGTATTTTTCCATGTTAATTTTTTATTGAATTTCCATTGACAGAGAAAATGCATTAAAACAAATAACTGTAGATTTACAAAATTGCAGATACAAAAAAGCAAACAGAGTGCTGGTTCATTAGTTCACATATGGATAATAATAATATGGAAAAAATGAAAATTATTTTACAGTATGGCAGTGGGTAATGTAACAGGCCCTGGCCTGTACCAAAGCCTCCATTAAGGACATCTAATTTGCTAAAGGGTAGCCTTGTTTGGGGAGTGGTGATGGTTAGAGTGAGATTTACTAATGAAGGTACAATTAGAGGACATTCCATTGGAGCAAACTTTAGCACTGTTAGTTCTTTAGGAAACTTTTGGGCTTGGTCTGTTTAATCATCCCTTCTTGTCCATAAGAGCAACACAATATGAATGCTTCCAGCTATTTTGGCCAGGAAAGCCTTTGTACATTCCAGAGATTGTAGCAGCTGAAAGCAGTTGTTTGTTTCTGATGATTGTACAAGGAGCAATAAAATATATCTCCATGTCCAGGGAACGGTCAGCTCCAAAATGAAGAGGCTGGTTTCTGCGTTCACGGTTCCCAGCTAGAGGGTGAATAGCTGGATTCATTCTCTGCATAGTTCTCCCATGTGTTATTGTTGTGTAATTAGACCAATACATGGCTCTGTATGTGGTCGCAAATATGCAAAAAAAGAGACAGGAAAATAATAGGAAGGTCAGGTTTGTTGCTGAAAGTTTCTCATTAGCGTGGCTAATTTCCAGCATTGGGAAAACAAATCAAAGCCTTTAACCCAGTCTGTTAGATAAATGACAAGAATATATATATACACACACATGTAACGGATCACCTGGCACCCCGACTGGGCACCTCCGC